TTATGTTTTTGAATTTTTAAATATGTTATTTTTTACTCTTACCACTTATTACCTATTACAATAAAATTATTTATGTAACAAGATTTAGTATCCGTTTGGTGTGACCAAAGTTTTTAATATAAATTCTATTAGAAAGAAATTATTATAAAAGTGTTATTTTTATATATAGAAAGAAAAACAAGTATAAAATAGAAATAATGTGTTAATTTCATTAAAACTCAAATGAGAAATTCCTACAGAAGCATTAATTCGGTGCTTTTGAGATTTGCAATGAAATGGACAAAATACTAACTTGTAAGAAGTTGTAGCATTTTTCACAAATTATAGTGTTTGGTGCAGCTGAATCTTTTAAAGTCCAAAAGAACTTTCCACTAGCTATACCAAATATAGTCTTAGAAGAGCGTTGCTAGCAATTTTCTATACAATTTTAGTTTGTCACGTTGTCATCGCTAAATTTGTTGTACACAAAATATACAAAATTCCCCGGCCAAAAAGGACATAAATAGAAAATATAAGTTAAGCAAAAAGATCAATTAAGAACTTGTGCCATTGTTGGTCTTTTGTACAAGTGTGTAAACTGTACAGTCCACCGAACGCCACAATGTTGGCCAGCCATGAGGGCAATTCCAATGAGACTCCAGCTTTGCAAAATGCTCAAGAATACGAGGAGAAATGTTGTTCTTAATTTTTTATGATGACCAAAATTAAGTGTAAACTGAATATTTGAAATATTAGTTTTCAAATTCAAAGATTATGTTAATATCTTTAGATTTGAAGATTTTCACATTCATATTTACAAATAAGTTTATGGAATAATTTATACTTTTCCTTTTAGAAAGGATGTTTTTAATCTCTTTTAATATATTTCTTTGGATGGAAACTGGACTTCCATATTTGTAGATTACATCTAAAGAAATATTTAGACTTTCAACATTTCCAATTTCAAAATCCAGAACCTTTAACAAAATATTGAAACAAAAGGAAATCAAAGACTTTCCCTTTCTAAGTGGCAACGGTTAGTTTGTCTTATATTTGTACGGTAAGATTTAAAAAGGGATGTTTTGCAGTAGGCAACATAAAAAAGAAAAAAGAAAAAAGAAAAAAAAAAGGCATAAATATGACATAAGGACCCAAACTTATACAAAATTCGCAATGTTGGACCCAAACTTCAATTGCACTCGATTAAGGTCTACAACTCCACGAAATTCTCAAATAAGGTCCTAATTGGACGGAAAACTAACTTCCGTCAAATTTAACAAACACCGTTAATGACTTCTTGACAGCTTGTCATCGGCTTCCGTGACGTTGCACCTGCAGGTCCTGTACGCCTTTGCATGTTTTTTTTT